TTTGTGTGTGAATGTGACCAGCCCTATAAACGGGTTTGTGGTTGTGTGCCGTGGACGACGCTGCTCCACCGCCGTGGCTTCGCCACAGGTGCCTACTGGGTAACGAGAAGAAAGTAGCATTTCTGACATTTCTAAGGCCAATGGGTCTACGTCCCAAGTGCCCACCATTTAAAAAAAAATATTATAATTTAGGTAAATACGCTTTTTTGATAAAAAACAAAATTTTTTATTATTTTTATTTACAGTTTACAGACAAAATAAATATACTTTCATGCACTGCAAGAAATTCCAATTCAACTTACTTACTGACGCATCAATAAAATTCATTTTTACCGTAAAATATTAGGGGGACTGGAAAGTAACGTCGTTTCTACGGGGTTTAAATATTCTTTAACCGTAAAATTAGTATAACTATGTAACTGAAACATTTTTGTGGTAAGAACTAAAGAATAATGAGTTATAAATAGATTTGTGGTTTTGATTTAGTCGTGCAGTAAATAAATGAGACTTACAATAGTAGTAAAATAAAAAAGCTAGCCGTTAACATTGATTTTTAAGGAAAAGTATAAAATATTTTATGTTCGCTTTTTATAAATTGATATAAAAATTAAATAATTGGTTTAATTTAATTGAAATTCGATTAAGAATGATACAAAAATTTAGTTTAAGAAATCAAAGAAATTTTAAAAGCTAGGAAATATGTAATGCCTGTTGTAGCATTATATAGATATTATTTAATTCAATTCGAAATTTGCTTCCTGAAACCTAAATCAAATTATGGTCGAGTTTATTGAAATAAATTAAGACTCAATTTTCATGTACGTTGATAAAATTAAGAAAAATGCTTCGTTCTATAAAAAGTAAATGTCTTGAGGGATTTAGTAAAAATCTAAGAAGATGATTTAATTAGAAATATTTTTTTCTGATTATGAACCTCAAAACCTAAGTTTTGTTGAAAGGGTTTTCTATTTTTATAACTCGCTCACTTTTCTCCAAAAGCATTGAGTTATAATTTTTTCTAGCGAAAAATATCAAAAATAAGACGAGTAGAACCTTACAAAATGTTTTTGTTATTCTTACTTAATTCAGTATTAATGAATAATTAACGTAAAAATTATGCCCTGAAGTTAAAATAATATTATACTAAAATAAGGCTCTTTTTTCTACCGGACAAAAAATAAAAATTAAACTTTTCTAAATTATGGAAAAGGATGTCAATTAAGTAAATATAGTGAACAATATTATCAGTAAATTAAAATATGTGATTATTTTTCTAATAAAATTAGTATTATTAGAATAAAAAAAGGGATGCCCCTAGATATTTCACTCTTGTGTCTTCTTACCCCAGTAGGTAAATGCAAATATTTACCTGGATAATACAAATAGGTAAATATAATACTGGGTTAATACTATTAGTAATTAATAGAGATAAGCATTAATAACGCTGTAAAAGTTTTTTACATGAGAATTTGTTTTAAATTGTTTATGAGTTTCATGTAAAATAGCAGTGTATTGAAAACAGAAAGTTTCTGCATAAGTATTTAAAGTCTCAGGAAACTCATCATAATTTCAGAAATAAGATAAGTAAAAATAAGTTAAATATTTACCTGCTTATAAACTGTATGCTTTTTCTGGCTCTGAAACTGCTGCTTTGGAAAATTACATTGGAAAAGAATATAAAAGCATTTAAACAAGACCGGAGAAAGGGAAAAGAGAATCGAACTCCAGCCGAATCCATGGTAAGCAAAGCCTTTACCCACCTCATGAATTGAGCTAGTATTTTCTGAGAGGTTAACTGAAGAACTACGTTCACCAGTTATTTGGGAAATTGTTGATGATTATGGTTACGTGTTTAAACTATTTCTAATAGATTAAGGTTAAACATTTAATACACATTTTGACTTGTATCAGCGAAAGAATTAGGAAAAAATATTCCATTTTTAAGTGTCTTTTTTTTAATTTTTTCACCGCAGCAGAATTACACAGGCTATGGCAAGGGGATTCTTTGGTTAGACAAGTCCCTCAGTGGACTGATCGTTAAGACGTCGTTCCCAGCAGATCACCGAAGTCAAGCATCACTGACTGCGGTCAGTGTGCTGGTAGGTGACCACTTGGATCAGTCTGCTTCGAGAAAGAGGGTGTGAGGTATTGGTACTTGTTAAACTGTTCTACCGTAAAATGCTTGACTTCGCGTGCAGGTCGTCGGGCTACCTAAAAGGGAGTGCCACCCCCTCTCTAGAGGGAGGATCAAAATTGTGATGGCGCGTCTTCGGATCATCCTCAAGGATGCTTCCCAGACCGTCGCCAATAGCCCATTGTGCATCTAGTGCGACGTAAATGGACTACGACAGAAACTTTGGTTAGACCGTGAGGACATATATCAAATAAATAGTAATAATACTCCTTTGGAGAATTACACTAGAAAAAAAACCCGGTTTTTATTGTGTCTCAGTTAATGAAAAACTTACGTATATTGGTTTGAAGAAGAGTTTACGTACTTCAACAGATATTTTTGCTTTTCCCTGTATTTTTATAGAAATTTTTTACAGTGTTGGCAATTATAACAAATTGATTATTACATATGATTAAGAAATGCTGCTTAATATCAAGGAATATCAGTGAATGAAATCTCAATCAACACCAGGATACGAACCCGGTGAGCCAGATAACGAGCAAGAGGATAAAGTACTCCACATAGCTCAAAATGAAGAACATCCTAAATAACGTTTGATCTAACGATCGGATTTTTGCGTTCAATTCTAATGTTTCGAGAAGGAGGCCTCAAATATGCCATTTAATTGCTGTATAAGCAAAATCAGACGCTAAAACGTACTTTTTTTCTCCATCGGATTTGGATATTCGACTACAAAATAGAGGGGGGAGACTTATTCTGGACAATATGGTTCCAAAAGTTTCATCAGGAGAGCTGTACAAAATTTGGAACCCTAAATGTTAATTTTGCTTTTTGAGAATTTTGCTACATCTCTAGAACTTTTAAAGCAATTTAAAAAATTTTTGCCCTCGATTATAAAATTAGTTTATTTGATAATTCCAAGAAAAAAGAACTTTCAGTGGATATTTATTATTTTATTTAATTACAATTGAAAAATTTTGAATCTTGAGGTGTACAATTTTTTACATCAATTTGAAAAACGTAATTTTACATTGAAAAATGCAAATTTTGATTGAAATTGGTCAAATAGTTGAAATCGAATTTAAAATAGAGAATGAAGAATCGAATTTTAAAAATACAAATTCTTATAGAGAAAATACGGGGATAAAATCATATAAAAAATGTTGAAACCCCTAAAATGCTCTGAGATTCCACACAACTGAAACAGAAGTTGCGACAAATGTTTGAATTTTCACGTTTTGTCTGAAAACACGGGATTTTAGAACGAAATGGTAGTCAAAAATATAAAAACTAAGATACAAAAATATAATATAGTCAAAAATATTCAAAATTCTGAAACGTCAAAATTGAGAGATTAATTTTAAAAGTGCAATGATTAAAAAATTAAGATTTTGAAATTTAATAGGGAGAACTCTGTAACTCAGGAATGCGAAATCACATTTAGAGTTTTTTTGTTTTTTACTTATTGGTTTTAGTAAATAATTTTCTACGTTATAATATTTATTAAATAAAATTTTTGTGATATTTCCTGTACGTTGCTCCAACTAAATAAGAAAAAGCGTTAAGTGAAAATACAGATATTCTTTTCTCGTTTCTTTAGTACCGGAAATTTAATTATCTCCGATCCAAGGAAAAATATTTTTTCTGCCAGTTTCAATCAATTTATTGGAGCACGTACAGCAATGATATCTATAGCCATTTATAACAATTTAGAACGAATGTAACTATTTTTAGCTTAATATTTGATAAGTAAAGGTAAAAATTGCATTGGTCTTCGCAACATACGATGATATTTTATTATAATTATTCCCATAAGCATTTTTTTACCGTAAAAAATATTTATTATTTCAAAAAAATAGAAAAACTCAAAGTAGAAGAGTTTTTTGAAGATAAAATTTATTTTCAATAAACATCAATTTTAAATATAAAAAATAAAATTTGCGAAGCATAAAACCGTATGAAAAAAAAATATTTAATATCAAGTGTAACAAACAAAAATTGACAACTTCATTAAATATAAGAAAAAAATAGTATTGGTAATATAAAAATTATTATATGGTATTTTATAAAAATGTTCTGCTTTTGCTCATCAACGCTCTAAAAATTTCGGATAAAAAAAGGATTAAAATTACAGGTACCTTAAGTACAGCGTCGTCAAGTCCATTCAACTATAAAATCCCATTCAACTATAAATTACCGTGAAATTTTATGCGGTAATTTTTACAGTATTGTTTATTTAACTGCAGTGATTCAGTTATTTTACTGTGTTGCTGTAAAAAGTAAGGGATTTTTGGGATTCAGATTGTTTGTTCCATAAAATGTTATTTTGAAAATGCATTTTAAGGCAAGAGGTATTGGTATCCTGAATGTCGGTTACTTTTAACCATAATTTGATTTGGAATCTTTTCAGTATTTATTTGTCAACGTCTAGTTTTGATCTGATTGTCATCTAATTTTGATGATGAAATGTATACGAAATAAACAAGGTAGTTAAGTTTTTCTGTCAAGTGTCTGCAATAAATAAAGCTTTTTTCATCATAGTTCTCAAGTTGTTCGAATCCATTGCCTTATTATATCGCATAATCCTCCAATCATGAAAAATAATAATTAAACGCGATCCACTATTACGTCATCATGATGAATGTTTCAAATTTTTTTTTCGCTCCAATAGTTGTAGTTATAGTTCATTTACGTCGCACTAGAGCTACACAATGGTCTATGGGCGATGGTCTGGAAAACATCCCTGAGGATGATTCGAAGACATGCCATCACAGTTTTGATTCTCTGCAGAGGGAATGGCACCCCCACTTCGGTAGCTCGACGACCTGCACGCGAAGCCGAGCAATTTACGGTAGAAAAAAAAGAGAACCAATACTGTACACCCTCAGTACCTACTCAGACTAATACTAGCTCTAATAAAATCAGAGCCTTTGAGCAGCAACAGTGTTTCAACAATAGTTATTGTACCTACAACATAGTAAATGCACCTATTCTGCCCATGTTAATTTCTGTGTATTTTTGTCAATGTTACATTTATATTTATACTTCTAAAGTTAAAACTTTTTTTATTACTTTTTATTAAAATTATTGAGGCTGGCTTGTGTAAATTCATGTAACGTCAAACCAATAACATCTATATATTAATTATCTGAAGTCTCTTATCTCAATAGTTAACAAATAGTTAAGTAACAAATTGTTACACCTACTGATTCAGTGGGGTGCTGTTTTCATTTGGTCTCAAAGGATTAACATTTTGCCATGCTTTGAAACAAAACTGCATCACTTTTTTTAAGTCCTCCAGCGATAGAATGGAAAATCTCTTGCATACTTCTCCATGGCTGTTACATATCATAGATACAGTACGAGAGCTCTTTCATCATCATTTCCTTCATAGTTCTTCTACACAAAAGGACGTGAACTCGTGTATCCTACAATAATTGATCACTTTATTTAGCGAAGAAAACTTAATATTTGTAAGGTAAGCAAATGTTTACATTCTCTTACACTCCGTAATATTTCTATAAGAAACTTCAAGTAAAAAAAAAAAAAAAAAGAGTTGGACAGCCCCCAAAAAATAAATAACTAATATTTCCTATACATTTAAAGCACTTCAATAGATTCAATAGATTTTTATAAAAATTTCAAATTTAATCAATAAAAATTCAAAGTTTAAGAGAGTATTAATAGAAAATCCCCCCCCCCCAAAAAAAAATCAGTATAGTACAAAAATTCAAATGAATACAAAAATAAGTAAAATAATCTTTTGATACTGTTTTGTGTAATTTGAATAATTAAGCATACTATTTACATTATTTTTTAAAAATAATACTTACAAAATACTTTTGCATCCAAGTTATTTTTATTTTCCTTTCAAACGTTAGGTATAATTAGCAAATAGCTTGACAGTAATGAGCGCATAAGATACAGTATTTGTTCCTAAAACCTGTTTGAAACTTTGCAATCTAGGTAAAATTGCATTGAAATTTTTCTGATGATCTCTAGTTTCTAATTTCCTATCAAAGAATAAGGTTTTTAAAATAATTAAAAAAGAAAAAAGCTCTGACTAACAACCAGAGGGTTAAGAAGCTTGCAGGGCCGTTCTCCCTGCATGAGAAATAATCGCAAGCAAATGAGAACCTGATAGGAAAAATATTTTCTTTCATGGAAAACTCGCCAATCAAATTTTTATTCGTTTGCGAAAAAATCGTTAGAGAGTGGTAGTGAGAAAGCAATGAATCGGCATTGGGAAAAAAAAAATCTAAGATCCTTTTATTTCCCTCTACGGAACTAATAGTAAACTAATGCATGCTTTCAGAAATGTCTCTGTTATAAACATTGTATTAAAATGGAATATTTTAGTAAATTAAACGTTTTTGTGGTGCCATCTTCGAAATGTATTATTTATTTTGTTCGAGGTATTATTTTTGTTTGCCTGATTTCCTTCTTTTGTCTTAGAATAAATCGTCATAAAAAGAAAAAAGAAAATTTTTTTTTTTGAAATCTTTTAAGAAAAGTGACACTTAAAGGGGCAGAAAAATTAGAACCAAAAAAGAACATAAGCATTGTAGTCATCGTAATCACATCCTACGGATGCTATGAGACCTGTCTTCAGATTTAAAAAAATATAATAGTTTAATAAAAAAAACTTGGCGTAGGAAACAAAAAATATTGGGAATTTAGTGGCTTATCTTATTTTGAAATTTAAATGGGACAGTTTTCCTTCCATAGTGATTGAAGTGACAAAAAGATGATACCGGGTGGCTAAGAGCGACAGATGGGATAAATATTAAAGATATCCAGAAATAGATAGAAATGTACTGTTTATTTTTTCTGCTATACTTACAAGATATTTAGTATTCTAAAATCTCAATATTAATTCAAATTTCATCAACATAGGGTGCAGCTATCTGAGAAAACTTTAAAAGAATTAAAAAACAAACAAAAAAATAAACAAAATTTGCAGCAATAGCATGGTGCAATCTCAAGACGAAATTGACAGGCGTCTGTGGATATATTGCATTTGATATTATTTGTGATGCACCAGCAGAAATTAGAACATTTGGAAGATTTAAATTTGGAAAAGGAATCTGTAGTCAAAACTTAAATTTACTTCATTATCTGGTGGATATAAACTTGCCGTGTGATCGATTATAGTTTGATCAGGGTTTCAATTTCGTAGATGATTCAGGAGTTCGATGCATTTTGAAATTAAAATATAACAGACTTAACACACTATTTATTTTGTCTGGGGTGAACTTAAATTGCATTCCCTAAACTTTAAAAAGTATTGTAATAAATAAGGGCTGAAAATTCTAAGGGAGTTGGCAATGGTTCAACATTCCAAAAAATAAGCGCATAAGTTTTGTTATTCTCTATATGCTTTTACTTTACCAGTAAGAATTATTCACCTAAACAGCGAGAGCACGTTAGTATGTGTTAATCAACATAAATAAAATAAAAATTGCGTGTTTAAATAAACAAATGCTTAGAACAAAATAAAGAGCTGAAATATGACTCTTGTTTTTTGCATCCTTTATTTTACGCATTTCTAAAGAATTTGGATAGTTGCCAGGTTAAAACTATTTGTGACGAGAAAAAAAAAATTACATTATTATTTTTTAAAAATGAATTTTATTAAAATAATTATTTTACAGAATTCTGAAGAATTTAGATAGTTTTCAGGATAAAACTATTTGTGAAAAGAAAAAAAAATTATATTATTATTTTTGAAAAATGATTTTCAATAAAATAAAGATGTTCAAGCTTTTTTCAACTAATTTTATTAATGTTCATCAAAATACCTAAATCTATATCGTTAAAACAATTACATTTTATTAAAATAATCTAAAATTAATTTGAAAAATAATGTATTTTGAATTAAAAGGTGGATTACATACTTATTTAATGTATTTAAAAATAACCTCCAACTTTTGTAGACTGCAAAATTTAGAGCAAAATCCATTGCTACTGTAAAATTTTACCGAACAAAGAATCTAATATGCTGCAATTTTTTCTGTAAATTTACTACAAAATCACTGAATCAGCGCAATTAAATAAATATTACCGTAAAAAACGGTACAAAATTATATGGGCAAACTAGATTGTACGGATGATGCGCCTAGGTTACTTTTTACCGTAAATTGATCCGGAATGTTTTACTGTTTTGATACTTCACCTTAGGTGTTACCACCATATAACACTTCTGCACTCGGTCGTTAAAGTTTCAGAAATAAATTTTTTTTCTATGGGAATGCTCTTACACTTTGACATTCTCAATATATTAGGCATTCTTTTCCTTGTTATTTTAGCCAGTTTTTCATTATGGAAAAAGAGAAGTTTGTAAAAGATTTAATCGAAAAGTATGAACGTTTTTCGCCATAATCTCCGAAACCGAAAAAATGTTCAAGGAATTAAGAATGTTAAGCTCAGTAAGAAAACCTCAAAGTCAGAATTAAAGAGCATTCCGTACAATGAATTTAAATATGGTTTCTGAAATTTTACATTATCAACAATTACATACTCATTTAATTTAATATATGAATACATAAATTTAATATAATATATAATAATATAAATATATGAAATTAATATAACATATAATAATATAAATATATAAATTTAATATAATATTTAATATAAATAACTTTTATAGTCACCTATCGGAACTGAACTGAGTACAGAAGTACTACATTGCAGCACGTTAAAAGTTTTTTTTGAAAAATATGAATTAAGTATGTAATTTACATAATGTTTTCATGATTCATTAGATCAGTCCTGGACATTTATATAGATGCACATTTTAGGAGGCACTAAAAAAAAGACGAATATCAAAATGTAAGAGCTGCAAAAAGCATAAAAATTAAAGTTAATTATCCTCTTATCAATCTTATCAACAAATCTTATTTAAATAGAGTTTCGAACAACATTTATACTTTTTTAAACTCACTTTACGATACATGCAAAAAGTAACTAAGAATGTGCTATGTAACTATTTTAAATGGTTTTTCACTTATTTAAGTTTAAAGTTTGTGTATTTATGCATTATTTTTTAAGATTAAATAACTTTTTTTTACTTGATTGGTTTCAAATTTAACAGCTGAACAGTAACCAAACAAATCGCTCAATTGTTTTGCCAAAGGTAAAAATAGCATTGGATTTAAGAAGATTATACAAAAGGGGGATGAGCCACAATTCTTATTAATTATTCAGCTCAAATAAATTAATCTAAACCACAGAAAATCTTAAGAAGGTTTTTGGTTTAATTCGCGAGAACTGTAGTTGGAGATAACTGTTTTAAAATTACTAGAGATGAAGATACCTGGCATTGCGAAGCTCATAAAATGCGAAGAATTGATATGATAGCTAGGGCAGCTATATCGATTAGATAACACAAATCTCTTAAAACAACTCAATTTCATTATTCCTGAAAAGTTGTTTGCTTTTTTTCTTCTTCTTTTTTTAAACAATAATAAGCAAATAAGAAGAAGAAAAAGGCCAAGATTGCTCGTTTGATTTGAGGGTCATTTCGAAGGGAAAATGGTTGAATCTTGTTGCTAATCAGAGCAAATGGTCTAAATTACTCAAGACGCTCTTAGCTTATGGCTGGCTGTTTTACCGCAGAAGGAGATGAATATAACTATAACTGTTTAAAAAGCACACGTATCTTCTTATACAGTTTTTATAGTTTCAAATAATTTAAAGCATTATATATCAAGTTATAATTTTCTCTTTAGGCGTTTAATTAAAATTCTATAATTAATAAATAAATACTGTTTACGTTTAAATCAGGCATTTAAATGAAGGAACTATTATTCTAAATTAATATTTGTTTGCTTTTTATTAGGACTAAAACCAAGTCATGTTCTCTCTTGAGAAAACTATTTGACTTGCAGTATTCTTCTCTTTTAGCGTCCTTAATTATTCTAGGTAAATTGGGAAGGTTTCGGAATTATTTACTGAGTAAATTATTAAAACAAACAGTGCTTTACGAACTTGTTTTTTTTGCGTTCGTCATTAGTGTTTAATTTCGAAGAAACGTAAGTGTGCTGATAAAGAAAAACTTGAACTTCATTAGAAAATTAAATATTTAAGGCTAAAAAGTAAATATTGTGCAATAAAAGGTTTATTGACAGAATAAAAAATGCTTTCAGTGATTAATATAATTTATGAAGTAGAATTTCGTTTTTAAAAATTAATATTAAATACATCACAGAAAGGAATACTTATTATAAGTTTAATTATTTTTTATCGGTTCAGTTAAAAAGATCACATGAAATATGACTTTTTAATTTTTTATAGAGGCATTTTTTTTCTAGAATTATGTTAAAATATTTTTTGGTTTAAAATAAATTCAGAAAAATTTATTAATTTAGCATATTATCTAAAATTAATTTGGTTTTTAGGACATTTTGTTTGGAGGTAAGGTAGGTGGAATTTTCAAAATGATACGTTCTGAAAGAATCAGCCACAAATTTGTGCTTATAAATAACCGAATTTATAAATTCCGTGTTTCTAACTACAAATAAGCTCGTTGAGAATTGATCAAATAAACGAACTCATAACGCACAAAACAAAATAGCTCCCCTATGTTGCATTCTAAGAAGTCCCGTATCAAATTACGGTAAATTGAATTTTAACCGGATCATGTTACAGAACAAAAAGTCTGATGTGCCGTAATTTATATAGTAATAATTACTGTAAAATCACTGAATCACTCTAAATAAATAAATGATGCTGTAAAAATTACGGTTTATTTTTTTGAGGTTAACATATGGATGCACCCTAAATGCCAGTACATTGTAAGGTAATTTGATCCGGAAGTTTTTGAAGTGTGATCGCTTCTTAATCCCATGCAAAACCTTTTCTGTTCCTACATTTATGTCAGTAAAAGATTTACTAAAAGGTGGATATTTGCATTTAAAAAAACAGGATGTGGACTCCAACTTGCTTGTTCATGTTCAACAGAAATTTGAAAACACATATAGACGTATCATAAACTTTTCTATAACTGACGCTGGTTTAAAATTACAGCTACTGGCATTCTAATATTTTATGTTAAGGGTACTTACCATACTATTCATAACAAATAATATTCATAATAAAGGCTGTACATAAGCTGTGATTTCTCAGGGTATGGAGAAAAGTGAGAGAGATTCGAATCTCAACGAAGGCTGGCTGATTCACAACCATCTCTGACTGACCACAGTGATGACGTAAAATATCCTCTGATGGATCATAGGATAGCATCCCCTTATAGTCGGGCTGACCGTGAGAGGTTCTTTTGGTTTTCCTCTATTGTAACGCAAGTGCAGGTTAGTTCCATCAAATAGTATCTGTCCTAACGCTTGAACCCAATATACTGTAAACCCTAAAAAGGACGGCAGTTTCAATGCTGGTGATAAAATAAAATATTCATAAGAAACCTTGTAAGTTCGATAGTTTTTGAATGAAAAGAAATGTGTATATGATTTCACACATTCACTAAAAAGTTTCAGCAGAAATAGTAGTTCACACTGTTTTTTTTTTCTAGTACAAATTTGCATTAATTTTGACACACTCATAAATCACTTCAGAAATACATAATTTCTTCAAAATTTTAAGTTAAAAAGCCAAAACAGTGAAATAAGAAAGTTCAGCAGGCTTAATATACCATTAGTACATAGTTTTAAACTTTTGAGTTAAAAAATTAATTGTAATATATCTTGATAGACCGTTAATTAATTTACTTTAAAATGCATTTTTCTCTGTTTTGCTTAATTTCATATTCAAAATATTATTTCAATATTATATAACAATTTATATAAATGTTCTGAATACAAAACTTTTCAAGATATATAATGATATTTCCTAAAACTTGCAATAAAGAAGTTGTTTCAATATTTTTCATAAACAAAATTATTTTCTTGCTACAGTTTTTTACATTTCTAATTACATTTCTAAGGAAGTTCCGAAAAGTATAAGAAGAAGCAATAAAGAAAACTTCCAAACATTGAAAAGACATATAAGCTATTTTTCTTCCAAAATTGTCATATTTCATGTCAAAAATATATACTTGGGGAATCTTTTATTCCTTTCTGGCAATTTAGATAAATTGGCTAAAAGTGCATTTAAAAAAATTCATATAATTCAGAACAATCATTAGCAAAAATGTGAACTGTGTCTCAAAAATATATCTTAATCTTTGAAGAAACAAGATGAAAATGTCACAGTGCTTTGAGACTTTCAAATATATTTGTAAAAATGGCTTTAGAATACCAGCAACTGACGAAATATATGTTTAGCAGAGTTTCAAAATAAGTTTGGTTATACACGAAAGAAAAACGTAAGTTTTGGTTAAAATATTTTAGATTTCCTTCATTTTGGTCAAGGTCTTATCGATTTTTCAGACTAGACTATTTTTTTCCTGCTTAGTTTAAATAGATTTCTTTTAAAGTTGCATGTGTTTAGTATGCTGCGTGAAGTACATAAACACGTTATTTACAGTACGAAAGGACAACTTGATGATTATGAACTAAAAAAGAATTTTTTTAATCAGTTTATTTTTTGAAAGATTCTTAAAAACTAAAAAAAATACTTACATGTCTATGATCGTTGACAAACGAAGCTGTTTTTATCGGTACCAAGTACGCTCGATTTGGAAATATACTTTTTTAAACTAAAACAAAAATTATCTTTTTGAAGTTTTGTTTTTCATCACATCAGTATGCTACAATGAATAAAGAGTATTTAAAAAGATAATAAGATTTGTTATTTTTGGAAAAGTAATGTCAATTATATAAAAAAAGAAAAAAAACGATTTTTCAAGTTTCACTTTGTTTTTTCTCCTTTCAAATATTTACGAGAAAACAAAATAAGACTGAGTTGCGTGAAAATATTTAACAATTAAAATATTTTAAATATTGTAAAGGAACACCGATAATTAAAATAATTAAAAACATTTTCATTCTTGATTAAAAATTTACGAATTCTAAATTTTGAAAAATATTTTAATGTTTAAACAAGAAGTTTTCGAATTTCTTTTACAAATTAGTTTTAGTTCCATTTCATAATTGATAAAAAAAATACTATTTCGAAATTAATTGAATGAAATACAAAACTGTGCAATCTTAGGCAAATTTATAAATATCAGTTAGTTAGTTTTCTTCATTCACATTTATTTCTATTACTCAAATCTTTTGTGACATGCATTAATCAATTAAATACATTAATTAAGAACGCTAAAATCTAAAGCGTGATTTTATGCTGCTAAAAACTTAATTATTCTTAAACAAATATTTATTTGTGTTTAAATATTCTGAACAAAATCTGAAAATCTAAGCAAAAACAAATATTTGTTATTATTATTTTTTTTTTGATTTTCAGATTTTTAAAAACAGATTCGAGAAATTTTCAAACAAAATTATTCCCTTAATTTTTTATTGTTTGGCAAAATGCAGTAATCATTTATTTATTACTAATTAATATTAAATATGTCTAATTTCCAGTGAAAAAAAAATATTTTTTTTAGGGTTAAGAGTTTTTCCAACTGAAAAATGTAAATATCCTAATATGCCTGATTAATTAAAATTCTGATTTCTGCTTGATCCTTATTGTTCACATAATGAATTGGAATTTCGGAAAACTGATTAAAATTAAAACATAGCAAGAATAATCACTTTCAAAAATCTGTCTTTTAATTTTTTAATAAGTTAACTTAGACCATAATATAAGTTAACTTGGGAAACCACCGACAGTTACGCCATGACTTTTGAAAAAGAGTACACTGTAAGTGCACTCTTTTAATAAAGAGTGCCTTCTGTAAAGATGATACTGAACATAATAGCTTTCTTCTAATCTGCCATGACATCATGTCGGTTTTTTTAAAAACTTATTACCTGGTTTTAAAAACGTCTGCAATACGTAACGTGTTATTGCATTGGCAAACAGGTTTCTCGGGATCGAATCCTGTTAACGACTGATAAGTTATTCAAATCTTCATTTATAACTCTTCATTCTTTGCTGCATTAATAAACTCATTCATTATTAAAATCACTTATTATTATACTCACTCATTATTAAACTATCAATTTTCCCATAATCCTTTTTACACATTTAAAAATTTTTACGAGACAAAGTACTGACAATTTTGAGTACTGGTTCATCTTATCATATATTTTCAACAATATTTTTTACAGTGAAGTTATAGCTTTTACTGTTAAAATAAATTGTAGTTGTTCTTGAACACAGTTGTGGAGTGATGTGGAAAATTATCGTCAGAACTTTATGATTGGGCTATCTTGGACACAGTGCAGAATGTACACAGTGTGCATTCTACAAAACTCAGTGGCGTGACAGCCCATAGAGGGCCAAGGCCTATTGTGTCCATCTCAGTTTTCTTGACCTTGGGGTCTGAAGTGCGGTAGCAGATGTTCCAGGAGGTCAGCTGAACGCGGAACCCCCAGTGTTTAGTTCCCAAGCATGCTTGGTACTCATTTATCGACCCACTGAAGGGATGAAAGGCTGAGTTAACCTTGCTCGGCCCGAGGATCGAACCAGAGACCTGTGCCACGACAGCGCGAAGCGCTACCGCCCAGCCACCGGGCCTCAGTGGGATCATATTAGTATGATTTTTAAAAGTGGGATTATAGTACACACGGAGGAAAAAATTCTGCTGAAATTACCGTATAGTATGGTAACGATATTTCTGGTAACAAAAATAATCGAAACTATCATCATCATCATATTTGACTAGACAGCCCAGGATGGACCAGTGCCTTCCTTTGAATTCGAATCCACTTCTCTCTACTTTTGACACTTGTTCGCCAGTTTTTCTCTATTAGAGTAAAGAAATCAGTCTCAACTAAATCCAGTCATCTCAGCCTGGGTCTACCTCTTTTCCTGTTCGTTAGGGGTTTGTGTAATAGGATTTTCTTTAAATTTGAGTCATCATTCCTTCTGAAAATGTGAGCTGCCCAGTTCAATCGATTTATTTTTATGAATTTCACAATATCTTGCTCTCTGTAGGATAGTAAAGATAATCGAAACCACAATTCTGATAATATAACCAAAATATATGGTATTTATAAACCATTCATTTAGTAATTTTTCAACTAATGTGGTAACATTTTATCGAAAATTCTGTGTCTCAAAATTATAGTTCTTATTACCAAACATTAAGTAAAAGATGCAAAACTGAAAAGTAAATTTAACCGAATAACTGGTTTTTGTGCCATGCTCTAAAGAATCACGTTGAATTTTCAAATTTTGCTTCAATTACCAAATTTTATCACATGTAATAATTAGGGGTTAATTTAACCAAAATCATTAAAGTACTTAGATAAAAAATGACCGAGCTTTTTGGTGTACCCATAGAGCCAGAAATACGGTAAATTTAGCCTCATTCAGGTAGTTTTGATCCTACTTTGTTTTCTCAGTAAATAAAATCTGATCTTCGGGATTGATATCAATTGTTTTTTAAAAAAAAAACTAGTAAGGCAATTTACAATTTAATAAAAATCTACATATTAATGTTAAAATACATCTCGCATTTGCAGAGCCTTTTTCTTATTTGCATTTTATCGCAAACAAAGCAATTAGTAAATTTAATGACTTAGTATAATTAAAGTACTTAGATTAAAAATAACCGAGCTTTTTGGTGTTCACATGGAGCCAGAAATACGGTTAATTTAACCGCATTATGGTATTTTGACCATACTTTGTTTTCTCAGTGAATAAGATCTGATCTCTGGGATAATTTATATAATTTTTTTTAAGAAACTAGTAAGGCAACTTACAATTTAATAGAAATCTGCATATTAGCGCTAAAATACATCTTACAGAGCCTTTGTATTATTTGTATTTTAGCGCAAACAAAGCAATTAGAAAAATTAATGACTAATCAGAATATCGTTGTTAAAATACATCTCGCTCGCGGATTTTCAGTAGAAATTGGTAAGAAAATTTGCATGCATGTACAAGTGAGGAAAGTATTATTAATTTCACGCAGTTGATTAAAATTTAAATTCTTGAAAAGCGATTTTTGAATAAATCAAGATTTAGAAGTATATTCTCGATCAGTCAAGAAACTTGCGAATTATTACTCGCCTACATTTGCTTCTGTAAATAATTGAGATGCTTCTGTTTCAACGTAAAGTTTAGAAACTCATTATTTGAAATAACTTTCTATGAAAAGTATGAAAATTAGCATTTTGTTTTAAAAATATTTAAAAGACATGCATACAATGTTTCGGTATGCGTTATAATAAATCTAAGCTCCCTTCATTTGCATTTCCTATTAGATTTTATGTTTTAAAACTTTGAAATTCTTATGTTTGTTAAGCACGTGAATTAGAAAATAGCTTTCGTTTCTATGTAAAGATAAAATAATCTGAATTCTGAGCATAGAACCCCAAGCATTCCAATAAGCATTTGAATTTCAAGCTTTTTAAATACATGCATCTTAAATATTTATTTAATATTGTTTCCTTCTATCTCAGAAATGTATTTCAATTCGCTGAAACAAAATAATATTTTCAATCTAACATTGAGGGAAAAAAATATGATCGAAACTAGCAGAATATGATGAAACTTACCGTATTTCTGGCTGTATAAGAACATCAAAAAGTTCGGCATTTTTTAGTAAGCGCTTTGATAATGATTTTGGAAAAACTACAAATAATATATGACTTTATAATATGTAATACAAGTTCGCAAACACAGTAAAATTTGGTAATTTTATCATGATACCTTAGAGCATGTCATAAAAACCATTTATTCAAAAAATTATTTTTCAGTTTCATATTTTTTATTAAATGTGTGTTAACAGGAATGATAATTTTGAAAATCAGAGCTTCCGGGAAACCGGTAACACATTAACGGAATAATTAACAAATGAATGGCTGAAATACCGTATATTTTGCCTTTTAATACAAGAAAAATGTGTTTTTTTAATCCGAAATGTCATTGCGGTATCGCACCATAATTTTTTCTTCGTGTACATAGTTATGTTTCATAAAAATATTATACTCTATTATTCATTTAACAGCAATGAACTGATAATAATGTTTATATTTTGTATTTGGAGTTAACATAATTCATAGAATATTTTAAGAAAACAAGGTTGTCAGAAACATTTATTTAGGATAAAAGCATTCATTAAGATTTGCAATATTTGGTTAAAAAAGTGTGTGCTTTATTTTCTTAGACTGCAAAAAATGAACTGCTCCAACTATGTTCTTTCATCTACGCACATGCAACGAATCACTTATTTTATGTCAAGAATTTTTTTTTCATTTTTCGAAAATTTACATATTTATTTGCCTTCAAGCAACATTGCACATCAAAATATTTTCATTTAATGCATCCTAGTCCTTAAAAGAATTTATTTTAATACATCATGTTCAGTAAAAGAAATTAAATTTATCTTATCCACTCAAAGAAATTAGATACATTTTAACCACTCTAAAAAATTGGATACATCTTATCCATTCAAAGAAATTAGATATATCTTATCAATTCAAAGAAATTAGATACATCTTATCAACACAAAGAAATTATATACTTCTTATTCATTCAAAGAATTAATAGATTACATTATGTTCATTAAAGGAAATAAAATAAATCACCTATTTCATAAAAAATTGATACGATTGCTTACTTAAATAAACAAGATGCTCTCACAAAAGGATGATACAAGTGAAATTTAAACTTACAAAAGTAAATAATGAATTCATAGAAATGAATCAGGCAGAAGTTAATTAGTTCAACATATTTAAATGGAAAATATTCATTACGTCCAAAAAT